ATTTAATATTTAGAACAAAATCAGGGAAATTTTGTTATATTTAACAGGAATATTAGAGTGTTTTTCATGAGTGACACAATTTGTCTCAAATTTGTGGAATCACCCTTGCATGATATGATGATATTAATATGATGAACTGTAAATAGATCGTTGTTTCCCTATGGGCAAGTGTACATCAATCACGACTATACACTTGAAGGTGGTTTGTGATTCAAAGGAAGAAGAAGAACCACTTGACCAATTTTAATCAAAGTTGGTACAAATATTTGAATTATCGATCTTGGGTGAAAGGGAACTTTGATATCATGTCATCATACATAAAACAAATACACATAATAAATTATATATAATCCTTCCAAAAAATAAATTTGGCTATATACTCAGAAATTTTATACCGGGTATAGATTTATAAATATCAAGGTAAAATTGAGGGAAAAAAAGAGAGGCAAAATTGTTGCATTGAAGGGCCAACCCCTTTGAAATGGGGAGATGATTGAGAAAAGACAAAAATCATTAGCTAGGGTGAGGTTATTTAAGGAATCACTGTCTAGTTAGGAGGGTATGCCAGGGCATCAACAATAGTGGAAAACGTGGGATAATTTGCTAAAATTAAAATTATCCCATGTTTCCCACTATCGTAGGTGTCCCTGGCATACTCTCCTAACTAGACAGTGATTCCTCATATTTCCATTTCATTGTGAAATAAAATTGTAGATTAAGACTTTAAAAATGTAGACCAATAGATTTAAATTACACGAGGACCTCAATGCCAATTTCAATAGTCCTCGCACACTGACGCCAAACACAAAGACAACCGCACGAGATTTACATGCATATTTGGCCTCCTTAGCGTCAGACACAGAGACAGATGCGCACGAGATTTGCATGCGTATTAAGCCTCCTTAGCTGCTGACCTATCGTCCTGCCTAATTTACATGCCGGCAGAATTATCAAGAATAAACTCCCAAAACTTTCAAAGAGTTATCACAGAGAAACAAATTAGAAATGGAAATATTTAAAAATCTTCGTAAGACAATCTTCGCAAGACGTAGCCTGTCGTTAAATATTGATTTTATTTGAACAAATAATTTAACCGTGTCAGTCCCACCGAAGCGGGACATACTCTCAGAACTGAACATGCTGCAATCCCTAAAAAATCATTATAGAATGCATCACCACAATGTAAAGAAATGCATTTTTAATTTGTATTCTTAACCATATTATGACCTGAATAGAATTGCGCCCTTTCAAGTCGTTATTGATTTGTAAGGGTACAAAGAACTGGCCTTTAAAATTTTCACCATGATAAAAATTGGGACATTCATTTACAAGGACACCGCATTTTAACCCGTGTTCAGTTCAGCTGTACTTTTCCCTTCTCCATGTCTGGTAAAATTCTAATTCATAGGTGGCACGCCAAATTCAAAAAAATTAGCTAAATATAGTTTCACAATCGATAAACTAGGTTTATCGGTTGTAAACTATAGTTTACGGACTGTAAACTATAGTTAACAACGTTAATCTCGTATATTTTACATCCGTAAACCATAGTTAACGCGATAATCTATGTTTCACAACCGTAAACTATACTTAACACTGAAAACAATCATTTGCGATTGCAAAACATAGATTATCTGATAAATACAGTTTCACGATTTGTAAACTATAGTTTACAAACTGTTAACTATAGTTAACGATCTGATAAATATAGTTTCACGATTTGTGAAACTATGATTAACAACTCTTAACTATAGTTTACGATTGTAAACTATAGTTTACAAACGTGAATCTATTTTTATCAACAAAATCTATTGTTAACGCTTATTACAGACAGATAAACTTAGATTTTAATTCGTAAACTATAGTTAACAACCGTTAAATATAGTTTTACAGATGAAAACTATACTTAACGAATCGTTAACTATAGTTTACGGTTTGTAAACTATAGTTTACAGTCGATAAACCTAGTTTATCAATTGTGAAACTAGGTTTATCTCATTTTTGTGAATTTGGCGTGCAGTAAATACAAATTTAGGTTTTGATCGACAAGTTGTTCTACTTTTTTTCTATTTACACACAGCCAGTAAATTCAAAAGAGAACACAAATTGTCTGTGCCACTTTGTCTGAAGGAATTATTTAATTACATGTACATGTAATTAAAACATCAATCCAATATTAATGTTACATGTATGCCAATTTCTGAAATGGTTGAGAACTAAATTACCGGGGTATATAAATTTCAGAAACCTTCCCCTGTCAACAATCAATCAATAAAATAAAACAAAATAAAATAAATAAATAAAATATTGACAACAAATAATTTTGAATACCACCATTCCTTATTTCTATTTATCAGAAAATACGTGTACATCAAAATGCGTGAACGGTGCCTTACAGAGGTCAAGGATTTAGCCATATGAGGTTTTTTTTTTCATGATGTATAATTGTATAATTTTATTATACATATGGTCAAAACGTGACGTGAACCTGGTGAAAAATTCTGCAATGATGACCACGATTTACCTCTCCACGACCCAAAACTGTGACATTTATTTGCAGAGATATTACCTATTATCGCCTGTAAAAAGGAACCCATGTTCGAAACAGCTGGTTTAGCCGTTTGTCAAGTTTTGTTGGTCTTGTTGTATAATTTAAATTTGATAGGTGCAAATAAATACAAAATTTTGAACATGACATGCATGCATTGTCTGCGTCATTTCATTTCAAATAAAATATCAATTCTTATTGATGTTACATAAAATGTATTTGAACAAATTTTTAAAAAATACTGAATTAATAAACCCATAAGTATAAGATATTTTTATGGTGTTTTTCGCTGTGTTATGTAGGTACCGTTTAATGTATCTCAATTTCTTTTTTAAGGTCTTTGTATGTATTTTTTCTCTTTTAGCCGAAATTATGCAATACATTAAAAATAGCCATTTACAATGAATTAGAACAAAGTGATTTTTTGCAAATCAATTTTTTTGTCGATATCAATAAATACCTCAAATACACAAATACGCCTAAACTGTGTCTAAAAGAGTAAAGGATTAGCTATATAAATGAATCAAAATTTCCTAAAGGGATTATGAATTTGAATCTTTTATGACTTCAACACAAAGATGTATAGCATTGGTAAAATGAACATTTCAATTATGCTTAAATATCATACATGCTCACTTCAATTTATCCCTAGCTGCTTAGCCTATATCGTGATTGTGCTCATTTTGGTAAAACATTGCATTAGCAAATTTTTAAACTAGTAATCAAAAAGTTTTAAACCTTCTATTCACAGACTTAATTTGCAGAAGACTGAGAAAAGAGGTACACATGGGGAACATAAAAATAATATTTACATGCATAATATATTAATCATATTTTCTGATATGATAAGTGATTTAAGAATTCATTTTTTTTTCTCTCGATCCATAATTAACATTAAATTTGACTATATTTTGATTTATTGATGCAAAATTCATTTTTTAACCATGTACACTATTTTATTATTTTGAATTAGCTAGAAATATACCAGAAAAAAATAATTCTTGACAGCAAAATTATTTCTTTTCAATAAGAAGATTTAGTATCTAAAAATGTTTTTAAGAATGGCGTCTCAAAGAGTAAAAAAAAGAAATCTACCGGTAGTAGCCAGTATGAAGTATTCATGATCGATGTATATATGGTCAAAAGCGTGATGACCTGACTAGCGCCCGCTCAAGTCGTTATTGATTAGTCAGCAGACAAAGAGCCGGCCTTTAAAAAATTTCACCATGATAAAAATTGGGACATTCATTTACAAGGACACCGCATTTTAACCCGTGAAAAGGTTCGGTTCAGCTGTACGCTTGCCTTCTATGTATCATGTGAATTTTTGACTCGCAAGGTGAACATTAATACAAATATAGAACACTCTGACGGATAAATTGCTCTACATTTTGTATTTACTTACGACCTGTAGATTTAAAGCATATCTAGAACATTCGCATTTTTTATTACATGTTATTTATTTTCAAATGGAAAAAGTTAATAATTTAAAACACCGATTCAAACTGTGGCTGATTTTACATGTTATACGCCCAAATAATTTAAATTAATATGCTCAACTTCATAGGGAAAGAGAATGCCCAGCTGACTACTTGAAAGTGCATATTATGCAAATAATATATTTCTAAAATATAAAGAAATTGTAAACATTCTATAGGATGTTAAAAATCCCACCTTTCAGCAACCATCCTTATTAATCTACATATTTTTTAAAAAACTTTAAATCCCATTATTGTGAAACGTTGAATGAAAAATTAAATAAAACTATGCGGTGAAACTTGTTCATTTTACTCATTAAAACATGCGTATGACCCAATTATTTGACAAAAGATTGTTTGTATCATCTGTACTCAATGTAGCTTTCTTGAGAACTTAAACCTATACTGTTGCCTTTTTTTCTGATTAGTTGTAAATATTTAGTATTCTTAAATGTTCCATCTAACATGTACATTTAGTTAATTATCCATTCAAAATGGCTTAAGAGGCTAAATCTTATAAAATCGGAAAATGCCATTTTTGAAACACTGATATGAAAGTTGAATAGTCGTTATTCACTTAATTAAAACTCTTCCCTAGTGTAGAATGTTCTGCTTGCTTTGACACATTTTCTCTCTAGAAATGATACAAGGAAGATTAATCTTGCACCGGTCCTTCTAAATCCCCAAGTGAGGAAGTACTCATCATTGTAAAACAAGAAAACTTTGTTTGTTTACATAATAGGTATATTCTTCTTTTAACATCAAAAATCTAATATAATGCTCATTTGTTTGTTTAATACAGTTACGTATTGTTAGCAGATGCTCAGACTTCCCATTCACTTAAGGTTTTGAGTTCACATTTTTAACCATGGAAAAAAAACCATGGTTTGTAAATAAATGAATACATGAATATTATTGTATTTGTTCATTTGATTTTATAAAACAATGGTACAACACATATCAAATACAAACAGTTTAATATAAACTGAACCAAGCAGTCATTCAATGAATAACTTAGAATTGTCAACATAAATCTTTATACTATTAAAATTTGTTAAAATAGTCAAACTTTGGGGACTTTGGGAAGTGGGGGGACTACACAGATGGCAGTTGGATAATACTCATATGGTATACCATTGTCATTAGACACATCCTTGAAGATTCACTACATTAAATAAAGACTAAGATTCAGTCCTGTTCTAATGTTTTTAGTCCTGCTACGACAGCATACCCACTTAAACAGACGAGAAGTTTGGTGATGCTGTGACAATGGGAAAATTCTCGATGTAGAATCTCAAAGAACGTCACATAGAAAAACGTCCCCGTGGCTATACTCTGCAAGATTCCAATAGTCAGCGACTGACTGGTACCGTCCTGTGTGACTGCCATGCCTATAAGGACGCCAGCAGACGACAGTATCGCAAACACAAGAAGAAAGGCGGTCATTTTACATCCGGTTCCCAAAATCTGATGCATTTCCATTCCGACACTAAAAGACACAACACACTTGTGAAGAGATATGGCCAGTACCAGAGACCAAACAGTTAATTCAGTTTGTTGAAGTCCTACAGCCAAGCCTTCAAAAATCATGTGTAGAGACAGGGCCAGGACAAAGAGAGAAGCCCGAAGCGGAGACGGGGCCACCTGAATAGCCTCTCTGACGTCATCGTGTACGCCGGAAGCAGAGAGATGATCCTCTACAGTTTCCCTATTAGGTTCAGGAATCAATTTGTCATTCTCTGGAATTGGTCTGTAACCATCGCGAGAGCAGTCATTGTTTACCCCCGGGCCATGACCAACTCCATGCATAATTCTCAAGAGTACAACCTCCATGATAAGAATGATAAAGAATCCACAACTTACGGTTAATTCATGAATAGGGTAATGTATTGTTGTGCCGTTCTCACCCCTACCATCCAAGGCTTCTCTCATGTCTTCCTCAGACTCTGCCAGCAGATGTAACATTGCAGTTGCGAAAAACACACCGCCGGCGAAACAGTTCAGGTGACTGATGATATTCTGAATTCTCCATCTTATGGAACCTCCCTTCAAACACCTCACGACTAGGGGAGGTATCAGCCCGAAGATGAATGTGATGAAAAATATTGTGAAAAAAGCAGCGACTTTATTTCCTGTCAAAGAAACCATTGTCAAATGCTCCAGTGTTAAACTTACACAGCTACATAATGTATAGACCATGTGGATTAAATCACATGATCGCAGTCCTTGGTGCTAAAAATAAACATCAATAAACCATTTTCACTCCACTGCGCTACGTATGCCAGACTGTCGATATAAAGGGAAGTTGGTTTTGTCAATGTACTATTATGTGACCTTTTGACCTTTACTTCCCGGATTTTTTTTTGTTGGTGTGATGAACAGTAATACTTCATATTTTTAGAATTATTTCATTTCCGTGTCTAAATTTATTGAAATTTAATTAAATTTATGACAATTTTTTATATAGACAAAATTAATCAATTACAACAATTTGAGCGAAATTTTCAGCAACATGTAAGCTTTTGTTGACTGTCATTATATATTTCTTTTTAAACAATTTATATACCGGTATTAAATAATTTATTTCATAGTGAAATCCCTATGTAGAAAGCATATATTACGGTAAGTACATGTAGTTTTTGCTTACGATTTTTTAGGGGAAGGATCAGTGTTAAAACTCAATAACTTGATCATGCAGACCATTTAATTTTATCAGGACTTTGCTATTTACATGCATGATACAATAATCTTGTCCAGATATTGAAAGCTGGCTTCTTGTTAACATTGTTCATAAACCAAAGCTTTTCAATAAAGGTTACATACTAGTCTGTTGGGAAATGTTATACAGTTATAACTTTTTTGTAGTCAGACAGAATTTTTATTTGACCGAAAGAACAACTACATCATGATAAAACGATTAATCTTTGTCAGTTATATAATTATCTCTCAAACATGTTCTGTGTATGATTCTTGACTTTATCTTCTTTTCGCATGGGTCCATTGACATTAACTTGTCCTTGGCCCCTTCGGTCTATTTCTGAATTCTTCTGTAAGCTAAGCACTAAAGAAAGCAATTTATTTGCATGTATTTATGTTGAGGTCTTTCGCGAAAGCGAGGGGGCATTGAATCTCATTCGTCTGTCCGTCAGTCTGTCAGTCCGTTACAAATCTTTAACCTTGCCCAACTTTTGATTAAAGTGACAATACGGCGCATCTCTTCAAAAACAGACTTGTTAAAATTTTCCTATAGGATTTGGAATTTTTTTCATACTCATAAATGTATAAACTTTCAGAAAATTACAAGTTTCTTAAGAAAATAATTCTGATTATTTCATTAAAATTGATAATTATTTATGGTACATAAATATATACATCGCAACGTGTTCGAAGTTCCACATCCCATGCTATACACGCATGCGTATAGTTTTCATAAACAAAACAGCATGGTAAGAGAAGGAAGCCCGGTAGGCCTGCTACATTGACAAAGTCGACCAAAACGAAAAACGAAACCAAAAATAGAGCTTGAAATTAAAAAGCAACTTTCCTGACAAAAATTTAGTTGGGAGATTAATATAATCATTGGATGAAGAAGAAACGGGATCTCGGCGACATTCACGTGGGGCTCGCGAAGGTTCTACCCTACAGGTTTGTTGATACATGCTATCATTTCTCATATCTCCATGGCTTTCACAGAAAAAAAATCAGTGTAAACTAAACATAAAAATGCACTTATGACATATAAAAATTATTGCCATTTGAAGTGCAAATTGTATTGGAACTGCAGAAAGATATTTTGTTTGACATTTTGCCGCGATTTTCCTTTCCTGCACCCCAATACACAAAACGTCAACATTTGTACTTAATCATGTTAAATTCGTCTGAATGTAGACTGAAATGTTAACTATTATTAATTTACCAGAGAGTTATATGATATTTTGATTCTGAGAATTGCTTTTACCTAATATTCCATTATAATTGTAAACCCTACATTGTATGCATTTTAGAATTCACGTGGTACAAGTAAACAGATGTAAGTTGTACGACCCTTGATTTTCCGACAGATTCTAATTACGTTAATTTTGTATGAGGAGAGAATATTTATTTTTCTCAAAATGCTTACTTCAACTTTTTACCTTATTCCTTAATGATATATTGGGTAAATTTGAATGAAAAAGCACAAAATTTGCAGTCGTATTGTCGCTTTAAGTTGAGCTATGACTTTCATATATCACATGTGTATTCCTTGTGTCAAGACCTTTCTTTGGGTACCACCAAATTTGACCTTGACCTTGGAGTTTGACACACTTTTACAAAAAAATTCCACACTTTTACTTTGGCCATAACTTTTGAATGGTAGATACGAAGACTTTCATATTTCACATATGTATTCTTTGTGGGAAGACCTTTCATTGGATACCAAGTTACCAACAACTTTGACCTTGACCTTGGAGATTTTCCGTACTTATGAAAAAAAACTTTAACCTTGACCATAACATAAAAACGGTAAGAGCTATAGAGCTTTCATACTTCACATATGTTATCTTTGTGTCAAGACCTTTTAGTGAGATTTTTAACCTTGACCTTGGAGTTTGACCTACCTTTAAAAAACAAACCTTTACCATAACTTTTGAAGGGTTAGAGCTAGGGATTTCATAATTCACATATTTAATCCTTGTGACGGGGCCTTTTATTGGATATCAAGAACTTTGACCCTTTGACCTTAGAGTTTGACCTACTTTTTAAAAACTTTAACCTTGGCCATATCTTTTGAACGGTAGAAAAAAAGACTTTCATATTTCACATTTGTTGGAAGACCTTTTGATACCAACAACTTTGACCTTGGAGATTTCCATACTGATGAAAAACTTTAACCTTGGCCAAAACTTTTGAATGGTATTAAGGACTAGGGCTTTCATACTTCACATTTGTAATCCTTGTGAGAAGACCTTTCATTGGATATCAAGAACTTTGACCTTGACCTTGGAGTTTAACTTACTTTAAAAAAAACATTGACCATAACCTTTGAATGGTTCGGGCTAAGGCTTTCATATTTCACATATTTATTCCTTGTGATAGGACCTTTCATTGGATATCAAGAATGACCTTGACCTTGTAGTTTGACCCATTTTTAAAAATCTTTAACCTTGGCCATAACCTTTGACAGGTTAGGAGTAGGGTTTTCATCCTTCACATATATATTACTTGTGACCTTTCTTAAGAAATCAACAACTCAGACCATTTCACCTCGGAATTTGACCTATCTTTCAAACATTTATCACTGACCATAACATTTGAACAGGTGATGCTAGGAATTTTGTATTTCACAATCGTTTTTCTTGTGAGAAAACCCTACTTTGGGTAATGATATATTTCAATTGCATTTAAGAAAAGTTTAATCTTCGCTTTGTTGCCATACGGGTCATCAGAGTTTCACATACACATCTTGTTCCTTGTATTGAGAAGAGACAGGGCTTTCATATTTGACATGTGCATTACCCTGACAAGATATTTCCGAGCATGCTATGATTTTTTACCCCTTGAACTTCACAATTGACCTTATTTTTTCTTTAAAAATCAACTTCAGTTATGATTTCTAAATAAATGACACATGATAGGGTGTTAATATTAGACACAATATGCCATAAAAATGACATCCCACCCACAAAGACACAGAAAGCGGGGGGCCGCAATTCTTTGAATTTGCTTGTTTTTTTTACTTCGACCTAAGACTTTGATTAGTTAAGTAAAAACTTAACCTTGGCCATAACTTTGAACAGTTAAAACTATATTTTTCATATTTAGAAGCTGTCATACATCGGTGTTTCACAAACACATCTCTTATCGACCCCCCGCTTTCGTGAAAGCGAGGAGACATTAAACCTCATTCGTCTGTCCGTTTGTCAGTCTGTCACAAAAACGTTAACCTTGCCCATAACTTTTGATTTTATGGAGCTATGACTTTCATATCTCACATGAGTATTTCTTGTGAGAAGACCTTTCTTTAATAACCATCAAATTTGACCTTTTGACCTTGACCTTGGACTTTGACCAACCTTCCCACAAAAATTCCATACTTTTACTTTGGCAATAACTTTTGGACGGTAGATACAAAGACTTTCATATTTCAAATGCATATTATTTGTGGCAAGACCTTTCATTGGATACCTTTTGACCTTGGAGATTTTCGTACTTATAAAAAAAAACTTTAATCTTGGTCATTACTATAAGACGGAAGGGGTAGG